GAGGCGCTGAACTCCCGGCCCCTGCGGGGGAGGGGTCTGCGCATGCGCGGCTGAGGCGCCGGGGTGGTCCCTTGTGCATGCGTCACAGGCTTAAAGCCGCTCCGCTGGGAGCAGGGCGGGTTCCTTCATCTGGTGCCCGCGGCTTGGGGCAGGCGGCTGGTGGGCGGGGTCCGGGTTCAGCCCCAGGGTCAGACCCGCCTTCTGGCAGGATCTTGTAGACAGACCAGCCTCTTTCTCCTTCCCTAGTGTCCTAAGCACGAGGCTGCAGTCAGTGCTCCCCCTCTCAGCTCCACAGCCTCAAGCCCTTTGTCCCGGGTCGGGGCGGACCTGGGGTTGCACGGAAGCGGAGTGCATCATGGCCTGTAAAGCAACCCATGGGTTTACAAAGCAGAGGAGTAGGCTTAAAAGGGACTTAAAGAAGCCATCAAGTCCAGCGCTTCTCAAACTTTTTTGTACCAGAACCCATTTGTAAATATTGATGGCCAGTCCTGACCCAGTGCCCCCCACCCCCAGCCTCCCAGTGTGCGGGGGCAGGATGGGGGGCCCCAAGTAGCCCCTTGCAGGCTGCAACTTTGCCAGCCTGCAAGGGAAAGGCCACAGCTTCCCACTTTTTCCCCCTTGATCCATTTTTAAAGGTTTGTTCACAACACTTTCATATATTTTTGCGACCTGTAGGTTGAGAATCACTGATCTAGTCCAACCCCCAGCCCAAGGCAGGGGGGGTCTTGTGTCCCATGATCAAACCTGCAACCTTATAGATTCATAGATATAGGATCGGAAGGGACCTTGTAGATCTTCTAGTCCAACCCCCTGCCCTGGGCAGGAGAGAAAGCTGGGCTCAAATGACCCCAGCCTGGTAAACGTCGAGCCTCCTCTTAAAGACCCCTGGGGTAGGAGCCATCACCACTTCCCTTGGAAGTTGATTCCAGATCCTAGCCGCCCTGGCAGTGAAATAGTGCCTCCTGAGTTCTAGTCTAAACCTACTCTCTAGCAACTTATGGCCATTATTCCTTGTTACTCTGGGAGGTGCTCAGGGGGAACAAGGTCTCTTCCAAACCCTGTTGGTCTGCACTAGTAGGTTTATAGATGGCCACCAAGTCCCCCATCAGCCTTCTCTTGTGGAGGCTGAACAGGTTAAAGTCCTGTAGCCTCTCCTCGTAGGGTCTGCCCTGCTGTCCCCGAATCATGCGGGTGGCCCTCCTTTGGACCCTCTCAATGCTGATCAGCATCGCATAGAGGGGGAGGATCACCTCCTTGGCCCTGCTTGTGGTGCATCTGTGGATGCACGACAAAGTACGGTTAGCCCTACTGACCATGTTCACGCATTATCGGCCTGTGTTCATCTTGGAGTCAATAATGACCCCAAGATCTCTTTCTGCCACTGTACTTTCGAGAAGGGAATTCCCCAGCCTATAGGTATGCTGCTGGTTCCTACTGCCCAAGTGCAGCACCCTGCACTTGTCAGTATTGAATCCCATCCTACTTTTATTTGCCTACCCCTGTAACCTGTCCAGGTCCTGCTATAATCTGTTCTTTCCTTCCCACCTCACCCCAAATCTTGGTGTCGTCTGTGAATTTAAACAGGCTGCTCTTCACCCCATTGTCCAAGTCGCTAATAAAGAAATTGAACAGTGCGGGCCCGAGGCCCCAGCCCTGGGGAACCCCACTGCCCACTTCCCTCCAGGTTGAAAATGACCCATCCACCACCACTCTCTGAGTACAACCCCTCAGACAATGTGCAATCCATCTGACTGGCGTCTCCAGGTAAAGACAAACTAGTAGCTTTGCCAGTATGCCAGGGGCCCAGGGCTGTGTGCTTCTCTTTAAGACTGAAGCCAAAAAACAGAAGTTCCTTGGAAGGAGTTAAAACAATAAGCTGCCAGGCTGTGAAATAGGAATGTCCTTACCAGGAGCCATAGATGACACATGCCCCACACTGAGATTGGTCGATGGCGCCGCCGGCTTCTGTGGGCGCTCACCACTCGCCCCCCCCCCAGCAGCAAGAATCTGCAGGTGGTCACTCACCACTCACTACCCCCCCTCGCTGCCGCTGGCAGCAATTGCAGGTGGTCCCTGCTCACCACCCCTCTCCCCCCTGCTGCCGCCAACGGCATCTGTGGGCAGTCCCCGCTTGCTGCTCACTGCCAACACCAACAAATGCTGGCCCTCCAGTCAGCCCCCCAGTCAGCCCTCTTGGGAGGCACCGGTCATTCATGCCAGGAGTAGTCAACAGACAGCAGAGGTGCAGAACAGAGGCCAGCTTCAGTGGTGGAACATCCACACCATTAAAACAGAAGAGAGGGGTTGTTAATACCTAGGGAGCAGAGAGTTTAGAAAGGATCCAGTATGTGACAACGAGCCAGAAAGTTAGTTGACTCCCTCAGTACTGCCTGACAGAAATGCTGTCACTGCAAAGCAGCTGGTTTTAAACTTTGAGTCGAATCAAATGGAGGTGCAAGTGCAGCCCCCTTGGATCCACCCCTGGGTGGGGTAGTCAGCCGAGTTAGTCTGAAGCACGGGTTCCCAACCTTTTTATGCTGAGGACTGGCAAACCACAGACTGGAAGTGATTGTGGACTAGCAAACTGTGGACCAGCAAACTGTGGACCAGCAGTGACTGGCATACTGCAGGCAGGCAGCCAAACCTTTTTTTATAATCAGTATACTCAATGTAAAAAAGGGTTGGCTACTAGTCCGCAGTTTGCTGGTCTGCAGTCACTTACAGTCCAGCAGCCAGCCCTCCTGCGGACCGGCAGTCAGCCCTTCATGGCCATCTGTCCCAAGGGAGCAGGCAGGGAAGAGTTAACCAGGCAGCCACAGGTAAATGGGGGAGGGCGGGGAGCAGTGAGAAGGGCTCTGGGTTGCTGAGAAGTGTGGGGGTCAGCAGGGAAGAGGAGCCAGCACAGCACTTTAGTGTAACATGAGCTGGGTTACATGAATCAGAGCTAGTCCTGACCTAGAGTAGCATCACTTTGAGCTGCCCATTGAGTGCTTAAAACTAGTTTTAGGTGTTGATGCACGGACAGTCCAGGGGTGAAGAGCTTTAGGAGCTTTCCCAAATTACTGGCCTACAAGATGCTTGGCTTTCCTGGAGTTCAGATGACAAAAGTTGCACTTGTTTAATAATTTTAAAGAAAGTTAAAAAAAACAGTTAAATGTACTGTTAGTGAAATGTCTTGGATTTGAGATGATTTGTTTGCTTTTCCCCCAAATGAACAGATTTGAAATTGTAATGCCACTTTTTAACATCCAACAGATGTCTATAGCATATAACAATAGGGCTAGTAAACAATAACACATTAATGAGTGAGATATAAATTATGGGATTTTTAAATATATTATTGAAACACATTCATTGTCCAGTTCAGATACTATTGTTTTAAAGCTGCAATCCATATGATTTCAGGTAAGTCTGAGAGCCAGTATAAAGTCAGCCAAGTTTATAAGCTTGTAACTAATACTCATTTATTATTTGGGAACTGGAAAAGGAAAAGGAGGAGGAAAAAACACAAATGGTGACATTCTGCAATCATTCTGATGCACAGAATTTCTGAAAGAGATTACTTGGGGTTATATTCCTACATTTCCTTTGTAAATTGTAGAAATCATCTCACTTACAATGGAAAACGAACTTTACCTTTCATATGTCTTAACTCCAAAGGATGACAGATCATAAGAGCCAGTAAAGACCTTGAGACTGCTAAATTGTCCATTAAAATTAATGGAACTTACTTGACTTTTACTTTGAGAAAACCAAAATTGGGCAATTCTTTTTGAATTCTCAAGATAGATCTTGTAGATGAATTGTGAGAGCTGAGAAATTGCATTGCAGATCATTATGTGTGTGTCAAGAACATCTGGGCAGGGGGCTTTTCATCAGGAAATAAAGTGATAACTCAGGAAGACACTTAGGAATTCTGAAACAACGCATGTTCCAGTTCTTTCTGCTGGTTTAAGTAAAACTGCCTGTGTACTTTCTGATATCAGGAGATCTAGAGGGCATTATACAGAAGACATCTATCTGCTCTTACTTTAATCCCTGCAGAATGGTTTTCGTGGGTCCTGGGAAATGAAGAAGCAGTTTGCAGATGGTAGTCTTTCAATCCATATTCCAGCTCTCAGAATGTACAGGTGCAGGTTCTCATGTTACCTACAAAAAGAAAATATACATATATTAGTCAGTATGCTCTGAGTCAACAGTTCCAAATCCTGCATGTTCTAATTATTTAGTAGTAATATTAAATTAATGATAATACCTGAGAAGATCATCATTTGAGTCTATTTGTTTTCACCTCCATCCAAGTAAAAGTAAAGTAAAGGAAAAGTCTGGTACAAAAAAATAGAACAAAAGTGTATGAGAAGGCCTGTGCTTGGCTTTTTCCTCTCTATTATATGCAAACTAGGAGAACTATGAAATTCAGTAGAAGATTAGAAAATATTTTAAGATGGAATTGGGCTGTCAGTTTTATAAAGACATGTTGCAGACATTTTTAGATTACTATTATACATATACTAGCCAATTGCCCATCAAGAATGACCTGCAGGGGCAGGAGGCAGACTGGTGGGAACAGAGTGCTGGCACTCAGCGCCCCACGGTGCTGCCGCTCTGCCTCTGGCCCTGTGTGTTCCACCCCCACCCCTGCATCCGGCCCCATGCGCCAGAGCGGGAGAGGCCAGGCCAGCGCTGTGCCACCAGCACCCCACACCACCATGGTGGCACAGGATGCTGTTGTATGTGGCGGTGAGGCTGCATCTGCCTCCGGCCCCATGCACCCTCCCCCACCCTCTGCATCTGGCCCC